ACGAGAGAAAAATGGGATTTAAAGCTCCCACGAAATTTAATAAACGACACAATTAAATCTCAAAGGGCGGACTCTGAAAACAAAGGATTATTACGCTAGATTTATCCATACTGAAACACGTCAAAGATATATCGGCACAAGTATACTAAGGCAACTTATGATGATTAAGTTGTAAGAAATATTTATGCATACCGTCGGAAAAGTTGTTCCTCTTCCTCCTCTTCCTGTACTTGGTCAACGTGATCTGCAACTGCCATTGTTCTACTAGCTACAAGAGCATCATGCCTCCGTAAAACCATGTCAAGCTGCTCGTTAAGCTCAATTGCTCGTAAAACGAGTTTCTCATCCCTATAAGATCATGAATAAGATTGAGATTCTGAAAAAACAGATAGCAGTTACTGATGTGTCTAAATCATAAAAATAATTTTACATTAATTTGCTACAAAATCATGACAGTGCAGTGGTTGCCAGAAAATAATGATCAAGAAGTTCCTTTGATGTGACTAGTATGAGATATGAAGGCTCATAGCCAGAAAGATCATCACTTACCGTGAAGTTACTGCCAGATGCATTACTCGCTGCTTTTGAAATGAGCATTGTTCCACAAGATCTAACGTGAACTCATCCTTTGCACGCTAGAACAACATAGAACCAAGACATTCAAACATTAAAATTACTTAAAAAGACTAGGAATCATTTGCAGAGTAAAACAATGAGATGCCTTTTCATATTGATACAATTGAAGATGGTACATTTCCGCTTCTAAAAACTTAGAAGTATGACATCAGCAGCCAGTTGTCGTAGTTAGTATAACTGACCATGGTATATGCTCTCATTAAGAGAGAAATTTTTGGAAAACTTTTTGACAGAAAAAAAAAAAAAAAAAATAAATCGGAACGTGTGATTGATTGTAAGATATGCAAAGATTAAAGCTAATGTGATGTAGAAATAATATAATAAATAATCAGTGGTAAGAAATATGTGAGGATGAATAGTAAATTATAAAATAAATTGTGTAGCAATGATTTATGTTTATTTTAAAAAAATATATTGATAAAATTGATAAGGGGCAACGATCAGTGAATAGGAAACCTTAATGAAAAAATCTCTAGCGAGGTGAAAATGCTCTTTTTATATATTTAATTGCAGCCTAAGATTTTATAATGTTCGGACCTATACACTTCCTCGTATTTGTCCACCCAGTTTCAGCATATATATCACAAAAACAATACTGGATTGGAAATTTCTGATCACTTGACCATATACTTAATAGATATTCCAATAATCACTGCCAAATTATCTGTTCCTTGTAAGTACCTCAGGGTGTTGGGTATCAATGGTATTCAGCACATCCCTCAATACCTCCAAGGCAGTTCCAGCTTTCTGAAGAATACTGAAACACAAAATTGTAACGACGTTAAAGATGGGAGAATAATAACAATGGAAAAATTAAAAACACTATGATGATGCACTTCTTTTCACCATATTAAGGCAGTACATTTTTATGAATTAGTACAAACTATACCTTGAGTCAGAAACAACCTGGGTCTGTGCTTTTGGCACATTTCTTTCACTCTGAGGAGCAGAAGGTTTCTTGTCAGGTGGACGATGCTG